CTATCCGGCCCTCTGTCACCAAGGTGACATGGTGCCTCTTGATCTCCCAATGCTTTGCCCTCTGTCTACCCTCACTATTTTCATTCCACCACTGGTAATATTTTGATAGCCGTAATACAGCCAGAATGACTAAGGAGCTTGAAAACAAGACAATTCCAGAGCAAGGTTCCAGTGATAGACTGGAGAGATACAAATGGAGCTAAAGTGCTTTGATGTCTTCACTCAGAGAGGCTTTGAAAGTCAACACCAAATTCCTTAAGGATACAGATTATATATTAGGAGAAGCAATAAATATAGAAAGGAAGGGTAAGAATCCCAAAATGGTAGAAATTACCCAGTTCCAAACATACATAGAACTAAGTTGAAAGCCTGATGCAGTGGAGCACTGGTGGCTCACACCTGAAATCCCAGATACTCAGGAGACCAATATATGAGGATCGCAGTCCAAAGCCAGCCAAGGCAAGACTCTTATCTCCTATTAATCACCGAAAAGCCAGAAGTGGAGCTGTGGCCCAAGTGGTAGAGTGCTAGCCTTGAGTGAAAAAAGTCAAGGAAGGCTGGGAAGGTAGCTTAGTGGTACAGTATTGCCTTGCATGCACGAGGTCCTGGGTTTGATTCCTTAGCACCACATAAGCAGAAAAAGCCAGAAGTGGTGCTGTGGTTCAAGTGGTAGAGCTCTAGCCTTGAGCTGAAGAGCTGAGGGACAGACAGCGCCCAGGCCCAGAGTGCAGGCCCAACAACAACAACAAAAAGTCAGGAAAAGTGCCATCCTGAGTTCAAGCCCCAGGACTGGCATGCATTCCCATTACCACCCTACCCCCCACCCCCGCCACACACACACACACACACACACACACACACACACACACACACACTGTAATGTAACTGGACACTGACTCAGTGACTGCTTCAAATCATTTTTTCTAGTTGATTCTAGAACTTCCATACTAACTGTAAGAACACATCTTTTCCCATGGTTATACTTTTTATTTGTTTCTCATTTGTGGCTGCATCTCACGAATACTTTCTGAACAGTTAGAACTTGTTTCTCTTTGGAGCTTCTATCATTATAAGAGTTATAGTCAACCCAGGCACTGGTGGCTCATGTCTGTCATCCTAGCTACTCAGGAGGCTGAGATCTGAGGATCATGGTTCAAAGCCAGCCAGCAGGAAAGGTGTTGAAACTCATCTCAAATAAACCACCAGAAAACCAGAAGTGGTGCTGTGGCTCAAATGGTAGAGTGCTTGCCTTGAGCTAAGAGCTGGGGGACAGTGCCCAGGCCCAGAGTTCATGCCCCATGACCACCACCAACAACAAAAAAGAGTTATAGTTGGGGAAGTGGAGCTGTGGCTCAAGTGGTAGAGTGCTAGCTAGAAGGAAGGAAAGAAGGAAGGAAAGGAGGAAGAGGGGGAGGGAGGGAGGATTTGTTGGGCGCCAGTGGTTCACAGCTATAATCCTAGCTCCTCAGGATGCTGAGATCTGAGGATCCAGTTCAAAGCCATCCTGGGAAGGAAATCTGTGTTTTGGTTTTTGTGCCAGTCCTAGGGCTTGAACACAGGGTCTGTTTGCTGTCTCTCGGCCTCTTTGTGCTCAAGGCTAGCCCTCTACCACTTGAGCACCACTTCTGGATTTTTCTGAGTAGTTTATTGGAGATAAGAGAATCCTGGACTTTCCTGCCTGGGCTAGCTTTGAACCTGGATCCTCAGATCTCAGCCTCCTGAGGAGCTAGGATTATTGGTCTAAGCCCTAGGTACCTGGCTAAGATTCTTATCTCCAAATGGGGGGGAAAAAAGCCAGAGCAGAGCTGTGGTTCAAATGGTAGAGTGCTAGCCTTGAGCACAAAAGTTCAGAGACAAGCCCAGGCCCTGAGTTCAAGCCCTAGGACCAGCACCAAAACCAAACCAAAAACTGTTGACCGTCAGAAATCATACATCCCAGCCCCTAGGCCCTATAGCCAGACTGTTGTTTTCCCCTCAAGCCCAGCAAGGACAGAGATGAGCAGGGCTCTGGCTGGACGCCCTCTGAGCCCTTATAGAGCACCTGCACACCCACTTGCCTGCTGCGACCCCTGGCTCCAGAGGTCGCAGGCTCAAGAGTCACTGGGCAGTCACCCCCTGGGGTGAGAGGCCTCCTTGGGCTCTGAACTTGGTACTATGTCCTTCCATGAGTCAGGTGCCCAATATTCCTCTAACAGCTTCCTTCTCTTTTGGTGAAGTTCATCCAAGTTAGTGTCCCTCTTTCGGTCAAGAATGTCTGGCATCAAGAGTGAGCAGCGTGGCTGCGTTCCTCTCGGTGCTGGCACACACCGACTCACAAAATAAATATTCACATCCACAGATGGGAGCATGCATCTACCTGATCTCCAGCTCCGGTCCAGTGCCCACAGGGGTTGGCCTGGTTGTGTGAATCCCTTTCCCTGAGAATAAAAGCCACTTTCCCCGCTACGGTTGATGCAATTACTTGTTTAGTCATGTCTCCCAAGTGTAACTATTTCTTGTCTGGCCATCTGCCCCTTCCCAGTGTGGCTCTGCCCTGACCCTACTTCCCACCCTGGTGATGCCAGCCCCTCCCACCTCCCCACCTGCTCCAGCCCTGACACTGAGTGTACAAGAGTGTGCAAATATCTTCCTTGCCCCCTTTTCTGTCACTCCCTGGGGAAAAAAATCCACCTTCTTCTAGAGACACCAACTTCGTATCACACAGATGCTTTGCCTTGAGATGCTCCTGGTCAGAAAAGGAAGGGAGGGGAAAGGAAGGAAAATGAAATAAGAACTAGGAGGAAGAGGTAGAAGAGAGTGAAGAGGAGAGAAATAGTACTAGCAGTATTGGGTATATCTCAAATGTCAAGCTGAGGGGCTGGGAAAGTGGCTCAGTGGTAGAGCGCTTGCCTTGCATGCATGAGGCCCTGGGTTCGATTCCTTAGCACCACATAAGCAAAAAGAAAAAAGCCAGAAGTGGTGCTGTGGCTCAAGTGGTAGAGCGCTAGCCTTGAGCTGAAGAGCTGAGGGACAGTGCCCATGCCCAGAGTTCAGGCCCCACGACCAGACCCCCCCCCCCAAAAAAAACAAAATCAAATGTCAAGCTGAAGAGGAAACACAAGGTTAACTCCAAAATTAGGGCGGGGGAGGGTGTTCTGGGGCTGGATCTCAGGGACTTGTACTCTAGCTTGCCTTTTTCTTTTCTGTTTGATAAAGATTATTTTATAAGATCAGAGGCACAGAGGCATTGCACTCTTTTTTGCTTGGCTTTTTCCCTCAAGGTTGGGGCTCTACCACTTGAGCCACAGCTCCACTTCCAGCTTTTTTGCTGGTTCATTGGAGATAAGAGTCTCATAGACTTTCTTGGCAGGGTTGGCTTCAAACTGTGATCCTCAAATCTTAGCTTCCTGAGTAGCTAGGATGACAGTAGCTAGAATGCATTACCAGTGCCTGGTCTCTTCTTTTTTTCCCCCAATTATTTTTTATGCTACTTTTATGTTTCTATGCTATGTGTGGGAGTTGGGCTGGCAGAAGGAGCTGCAGCACTGCTTCTAGCTGGGCTTCCCCCTTCACCACCCCCTCATCTAACCTCTGGGAGACTGCTCCTGGTCCGGCAGGGGGCAGACTTGGAATGTGTCACCTCAGGGCCTCTGCATTGGCTGAATCCACCGCTGGGAGAAGAAATGAGTAAAGCTCTTGCTAAGGGGAATCTGTGTGAGGGATTATTACATCTGTTTCCCCAGAAGTCACAAGGTCAGATCCCACCAGGTGCCATGGAATGCCAGCTCTACACATATTTTAAGAGAAGGTAGGCATTCAGATCACTGGGACAGATTTCCAAATTTTAAACTCTAAGCAGTGCATTAAAAATATTTCTGAGCAGGGTGTTGGTGGCTCATGCCTGAAATCCTAGCTACTCAGGAGGCTGGGATCTAAAGATCGTGGTTCAAAGCCAGCCCAGACAAGGAAAGTCTGTGAGATTCTTATGTGCAATGAACCAGCAAAAAAAAAGCCAGAAGGGGAGCTGCAGCTCAGGTGGTAGAGCACCAGGCTTGAGCTGAAGAGCTCAGGGACAGCACCCAGGCCCAGAGTTCAAGCTCCACAACTGACAAAAAAAAATAATAATTCTGAGCCATGCACTGGTTTCTCACACCTGTCAGCTACTCAGGAGGCTGAGATCTGAGGATCATGCTTCGAAACCAGCCTGGGCAAGAAAGTCCCCAAGATTTTTATATGCAATGAACCAGCAAAAAGCCAGAAGGGGAGCTGTGGCTTAAATGGTAGAGTGTTACCCTTGAGCAAGACAGCCAAGCATGAGTAAGGTCCTGAATTCAAGTCCAGTACTGGCAGAAAACGAGTAAGTAAATAAAATAATAATTTAAACATGTATATGTTCAACCTAAATACAAGAGGCTAAGCTAGACATTTCCAGGGCATAGTGCTGGAATCCCTGGACTTATGTATGTATCATGGGCTTCCAGTTACAGTGAATCCATAAACATAAATAAATAAATAAAACCTTTCACCCTATGGTTAAGAAAAAGGCAAGGATGTCTTCCATGTCCTCGTCTAGTAGATGTCCATACAATTTCTAGACTGAGGGAGAAGAATAACATGGCAGAGACAGGCAAGCACCATTGTTTACGAGACCATGGTATACACAGGAAAGTCCCACATGTTTGTGACATTTGTGACTCTTTTAAATTATGCTTTTTCTCGAACGTCCGGTGGCTGGCAGGCCACCAGCACTGGCCACCTTTTCCTCTTCCCTGTCCTCTCTGGCCACTGAGACCTCATTTAGCAAGTGGCCCTTCCAGTTGACTGTCCCCAGAAAACCCTCCCTCCCTCCCCGGGGAACCTGGGTCTTGTCACTGCAGCAGCATCCGGGAAGGGTGAGCTGGCTTCCTGGCTACAGCCCTGGGTGTGGCAAGGGACACCCCAGTTCCTCTTTGGTGGGTGGCTGCAGTTCCCCCTTGAGCAGTGATTTCCTGTTGTGGGCCCCACATGCCCTTGCACCCTTCATCTCGCATGGGAGGCTGGACAGGAAGGGGTGCTGACCAGTGCAGAATGGGGGCCATGCTGTGGCTGCTGCTGCTGCCCGTGTCCCTGCTGTGGGCTGGTGAGTGGGTCGAGGGAGGGGGGCAGGGCAGGGCAGGGGGACGGGATGCAGCTGAAGTCTCTCCCCTCACTTCTAGGAACCCTGCAAGTGGAACAGGAGTTCAACCTCCGAGTGCCAAAGCTGGTGACAGTGCAGGAGGGCCTGTGTGTCTCAGTGCCCTGCACCTTCTCCTACCCTCAGTACAAGATGGGGGCCTCCCACCAGCTCTACATCTACTGGTTCAAGAGTGGGTACAAGACAAACCAGTATCCTGTGGCTACAAACGACCCAAACGTAAAGGTGGAAACAGACACCAGGGGCCGGTTCCGGCTCCTTGAGCATTCAAAGAGCGTCAACTGTTCTCTGCACATCAGCGATGCCAAGCGTGGGGACAGAGGGAGCTACTTTTTCCACATAGAGGGAACAGGGAATACAAGATACACTTACAGAGAGACCAGGCTGACGCTGGAGGTGACAGGTAAGCTGGGAGCCAGGGCCCCCTGGCTTGCTGAGACCCCTGCACCAGGATATCTGTGTCTTTTCTTTTGGCGGGGGGGGGGGGGTGTTTGGTTGTGGGCCTTGAACTCAGGGCCTGAGCGCTGTTCCTCAGCTCTTCAGCTCAAAGCGAGTGCTCTGCCACTTGAGCCACAGTGCCACTTCCAGTTTTTTGGTGGTTTATTGGAGATATGAGTCTCATGGACTTTTCTGCCCTGGCTGGCTTTGAACCATGATCCTCAGATCTCAGCCTCCTGAGTAGCTAGGATGACAGGCATGAGCTGACATCTGTGTCTTGAGGTCAAGTGGTCAGAAGGCATGGGGTCCTGAGTCACTGTCCACTCTGAGGGTCTCCAGAGACCTGGGTTCAGGTGTCTACTCATCTCCTCCTCAGCTCTGATGGAAAAGCCAGTGATCCGCTCTCCAGAGCATCTGCCATCTGGCCGCCTGGCACAGCTGACCTGTGGTCTTCCAGGACACTGCGAAGGGGGCCGGCCTCTCACCTTCTCCTGGACCGGGGATTTCCTGAAGTCCACATACCCCAGGAATACCCACAGCCCTGTGCTCACCCTCGCCCCGCAGGCAGAGGACCACAACACTAGCCTCACCTGTCAGGTGGAACTGCAAGGAAGTCGTGAACGTACAGAGAGAACCATCCTGCTCAACGTCTCCTGTGAGTGCTGGACAAATGGCTGGTTGGGGGGGGGCGGGGAGAAAAGGGGGGAGGGAAAGAGTGAGGGTGAATAGGTTCTTGGTGTGTGTGTGGGGAGGTAGGGGGCCTGGGCAGGATCTTTCTATCTAGATGCTCCTCAGAACATCAACATCCTCATTGCTCCGAACGGCACAGGTAGAACTTTCTGTCCCCTCCAGCTCTGGATGGGTTTGTGGGCAGAGACTGCATGAATCACATACTAGGAGAGGGGAGACACGAACCCCACCCCACCCCACCCCATGCATGGCTGTGCACACTCACTGCACACACATGGGGACAGTTACCTTGAGATGATGTCACACCCTCCCTCCCCCACCCCTGCCTGGCCCAGTTCTTACATGGAATCCTTGCCCTTCCACTCACCCACAGCTCAGCCCCCCCCCCGCCCCTCTGTCCCATTTCTCATCATCCAGAGAGGCTTGGCCCCCTCTGAGGACCAAAGGGGCTGACGCAGGGTGGGGAGAGGGATCTGACCCTGGAAGGAGATGGAGCCATCTTCTCCCTCCTTCCTTTCCTCCTCTTCTCCTTCTTCATCTGCATCTTCTCCTTCCCTTCCAACTCCTTTGCCATCATTCTCCCTGCAGCCTCTTGCCCACCTCTCCTTCTTTCTATTATTCTTCCTGCAAACTCTTTGTCTTTCTGTCCTCCAGACTTCAGAAGTGTGCAGAATGCCTCCCTTTCTTCAATATGGCCAGACCTGTGGGTGTGCTGTGCTGTGGACAGCTAGCCCTCTGTACCACTGGGTTGGTTCTGGGGGGGGGGTCTCAGGCTCCCAATGCCTCCCCACTCTCCCCCACAGGGACCCTGGAGCAGGGTAGAGATGGCAGCCAAGGGGCTGCACCTTCGCTGGGTTCCCAGACCGGCTCTGTGAGCTGTGTGCCTGCAGGGGGACACCTGCTGACCCTCGGCCTTCCTCCTGCAGATCTCCCTCAGCTGCTGGGCCCCTCCTGCTCCTGGGGGGCTGAGGGGCTGCACTGCACCTGTGCCTCCCGAGCCTGGCCAGCCCCCACCCTGCAGTGGCGGCTGGGGGAGGCGCTGCTGGCGGAGGGCAGCGGCAACACCTCAGTCGCTATCACCTCCAGCTCTGCTGGGCTGTGGGTCAACAGCTCCCTGAGCCTCCGCCAGATGTTCAGCTCCAGCCTGGAGCTCAGCTGCCAGGCCCAGAACGTGCGCGGATCCCAGAGCGCCCTGATCCTGCTGCTGCCAGGTCAGGGGCCTTTTCTAGAGGGATGCAGGAGGGGGGGGAGCAGGAGAGGGGACATGTGAGTGGGTGGGGGATGGGCATGGGGGAGGGCTGGTGGGGAGGGTGGGTGAGCTGGGGCCTGGAGTGAGTTCCTGGGGAGGATGGTGCAGAAGAGAAGGTCCAGAGAATAAGTCCTCTCCCCTGCCCCGCACCCCCTCCTACTTTTCCACAGGGAAGCCAGTGCCCAGGTCAGAGGCTCCGCTGGCTCTGGCCGCCCTTGGAGGTGCTGGGGCCACCACCCTGCTGGGTCTATGTCTGTGCCTAATTTTCTTCTGCATGTAAGTCCTGGTCCCAGGGGGATGTGTTGGCACTGAAGGACTGGGCTCCAAGGACAGGACCTGGCACAGATGAGGAGAGTGACCCCCCCAGATGCTAAGGAGCCCCCTCCAATAAGGAGAGACGGGGAGATGGGCATGAAGACAATGGGGTGCAGAGCACACAGAGGCGCTGGGAGTCCCCCACATTATCCCAATGAGCTTGAGCTGTAAAGCACTTACTGGCCACGGGTCCGGTTAGGCCCAGGCCCTGAGTTCAAGCTCTGGAACTGGTGCAAAAATAAAGTGTATGACTGAAAGACTTGAGGTCCATTCACACACAGTCATGCACCCATCTCTACAAGGTCAGAACTATTTCATTAGCCCACAATAGAGAACATAAACACCTGGGCATCACTTATCAGGATTCAAGGTTTCAAGATTGATCCACACTGGTGCACGGTTCAGTAATTCACACTGCTTTCTCTTCCAAATAACATCGAGTTGTGTAGAGAAAAACATGTCCACTTCTCTCTTACTGGCTGCATCTACTTTTGGGAAATGGTGAAATCATGGTGGAGATGTTTGTGGGGTGGGGCAGGAGCCGTCTAGAACAGAAATTGTCTTAGAGGACCTTGGACAAAGCTCTAGGTGCCTGGGGCTGGGAGTCTTCTGTCACAGGTCCATCTGGCCTCTGTGTCCAGTTCAGGGGGGCCTGGAAACCTCAGTCACCCTTTTTCCAGCCTTAGTGGGGGGAAGAGGTAGCCCACTCTCCTGTTCCTGAGGCTTCCCGGCCCACAGTCCGCTCTTCTCTTCCCGTAGAGTGAAGATGTACAGGCTTTGCACAACTGGGAGACCACAGGGCACAGAGGATGAAGACCCTGTGATGGGTACGGTCAGCTGGGTGAGTGACCAGGACATCATCACCCCAAGGCTGTCCCTTGGCTACTTGTGTACAGTGTGTGCCAGTCCTGGGGCTTGAACTCAGGGCCTGGGCGCTGTCCTTGAGCTTCTTTTTGCTCAAGCCTGGCATTATACCACTGGAGCTGCTCACGGTGCTACTTCCCACTTCTCAGTGGTTTATTAGAGCCTAAAAATATCTTGGACTTTCTCACCCAAGCTGCCCACCACAGTCCTTAGATGTCAGCTTCTCAAACAGCTAGGACTACAAGTGTGAACCACTAGTACCCAACTTGGATCCTTATTTTTCTTTTTTGATAGTCCTGGGGCTTGAACTCAGGATCTAGGCTCTGTCCCTGAGCCTCTCTATGCTCAAGGCTAGTGCTCTAACATTTGAGCCACAGTGCCACTTCTGGCTTTTTCTGAATAGTTTATTGGAGATAAATCTCATGGACTTTCCTGCCCAGGCTGGTTTTGAACTGTGATCCTCAGATCTTGGCCTCCTGAGTAGCTAGGATTAGAGGTGTGAGCCACTGGCGCCTGGTTGTTTTTGTTGTTGTTCAGTAGTGGGGCTTGAACTCTTGGCCTGGGCGCTGTCCCTCAGCTCTTCAGTTCAAGGCGAGTGCTCTACCACTTAGCTTCAGCACCATTTGTGGTTTTCTTCTGGTGGTTCATTGGAGACAAGAGTCACAGGGACTTTCCTGCTGTGGCTGGCTTTGAACCACAATCAGATCTCAGCTTCCTGAGTATCTAGGATTACAAGTATGAGCCACCAGCGCCTTGCTGTTTTTTTTTTCCTTCCTGTACACTTTTCGTTGCTACTATGTTATCTTTTAAATAATGAACTCCATTAATATTGCTAGAATGCAGAATCAAAGCATTTTTTTAAACATGTGAGGATGTTTCGTGATTAAAATAAACACAAATTGGTGGTCTTGGTTGCAGTTACAATCTGGCTACTTTAGCAGCCTCAGAATTATTAAGCAAACTTGATAAGTTTATAGGTAACATCCCATCAATGGAAAACATCTTCAGATTTGATCAAATGACTGCATTCTTGCCATGGCTAAGTGCAAGTTGGAGGTGCTTTTCATTTCCCCCTTGCCAACACGGTGCTTCCAGTGTTCACTCTGGACACTACCCACGGTTGAGTTCCCATCCTAGAGTCCTCTGGGGCCGGCTTGCAGCTCCTGCTCCCCAGTGACACCCACCTCTGCCCAGTGGGCCTAGTGGCCAAGGACTGTCTTTATTTCCTCCACAAATGCAGCAGGTGACATTTAAATTACATTTGACTTCTGGTAGTGCTGGGATTTCAACCCAGGATCCCCTCATCCCCGCCCCCACCCCCATCTGCTAGGCAGGTACTCTACCACTTGAGTCAGGACCCCGGCTTCTTTTTGCTTTAGCTATTTTTCCAGTAGGATCCTGCTTTTCTTCCAGGTCAGTGTGGGGAGGGGAGGACCGTGGGGGGAGACTACCAGGAGATGGAAGGAGATGGGAAATGGGGAAGAAGTGGGATAAGAAAGAGTAAGGGAGTAACAAGAGTAACTGGGAGCTGGGTGCCAGTGGCACATGCCTGTCATCCTAGTTACTCAGGAGGCTGAGATCTGAGGATCACAGTCAAAGCCAGACCAGGCAAGAAAGTCTGTGAGACTCTTATCTCCAATAAACTACTTAGAAAAAGCCAGAAGTGACACTGTGGCTCAAGTGGTAGAGTGCTAGTCTTGAGCACCAAGAGGTCAAGCCACATGACTGCCCCCCCCAAAGAAGAGTAATTGGGGTATGTGTGAGAGACTAAATGGAAGTGTCATGGAACTTCTTACACTGTACAACTAAATATATGCAAATAGAAAAAATTACTCATCACACAGACCCCAGGGAGATGAAATAAGCATGTCTCTTCTCACAGGACCAATGGGAAGAGACAGACAGACAGACAGACAGACAGACAGACCTGACTTTATTGAGCTTCTGAATGTCACACCACCTCAATCCTTTTAGGAATCTGATACAACTTCCACAGAATCATGCTGTCACCAAGAGGTGGTCCCTGCGCAGCCAGTGGGATGTGTGGTGGCCAGCAGGGCGCAATAGGCAAGCAGGCTACATGTAGCCCTCAGAGGGAACTAGCTTCCTCGAGGTGACCGCAGACCACAGCTTTCTGGATTAGAAAATGAGAGGAAAGTGAGGAAACCGACAGCCAGAAACTGCATAGGGGATGACTGAGAAAGGTCAGTTTACATTCAAAATGGATCTTGAACCAATATAAAAGTATAAGAAATTCCATCATGCCCTTTTTTGGGGAGGGGGAAAGGGCTGATCCTGGAGCTGAACTCAGAGCTGAGTCTTTGAGGTTAGTGTTCCATCACTTGAGCCACAGCTCTCCTTTCTGACTTCTTCTGAGTAATTTACTGAGGATAAGAGCCTTTCAGACTTTCCTGCCTGGGCTGGCTCTGACTTTCCATCCTCAGACTTCAGCTTTTGGAGTGGCAAGGATTACAGGTATAAGCCACCAGCACTCAGCTTGTCTCTATTCTTGTTGTGACTCTTTTTTTCTTCCTTTTCAGGGATCCAAGCAGAAGCCCTCACCAGACAACCCTGGGGGCCAGGCATCACCTGTTGTCACTGATCCACAGGAACTCCATTATGCTTCTCTCAGCTTTGGTGGGATGAGCTTTCAAAAGTCTTGAGACCAGAGAGTCACAGAAAACAGAGAGTACTTAAAGATCAAGACAAGCAAGTGGGGAGGGCCTCGGAGTTCATCCCTGGCCCCAGGGCCCGTCTGACCAGAAGTCAGAGGTGAACCATGGAAGCACCCAGAGCCCCGGAGACAGCAGTAACTTCTGTCAGAGCATCCTCAAGCAGAGCAGAACTAGAGGACACCTGGTGGATTGGACAGACAGGCTCTAGCACTTTCTAAGGCATGGCTTTTGTGAGTTCTTGCAAGGATTTATTTTAGCAAAACAAGAGAAGGTAGGGAGAAATGGTCAGACAAACATTTCAATGCTACACCCAGGTATCTTGATATCCAGGTTTAAGTTAATACATACTCTCTCATCAATAAAAAGCAGAGGCTGGGGAACCCTAGGAATCACTGGGCTGATCTAGGGCCCTCTCTGGCCTTTCTTGACAACGATGTGTCCAAAGAGATCCTTTCAGCCAGCACGGGAATCTGCTGGACTGGGCCACACCCACCCTGTGGTCTACTCATTCATGTTCTCTAGGGCCACCTTTCCTGAAATCCACCACCCACCCACCACCTCCATCTTCACTACCAGGAACTCACTACACCTCCTCTCCTTTGGCTTTCATGCTGTTAGAACACAGGCTGAGGGAGGGGTGCAGTGGAGGTTCAGGAGAGGCAGGACCTCACAGGCCTAGTTCCTCAGGGTTGAGGCTGGAGAACGTTTTTCACTGCTGAAATTAAGTGAACAACTAGGTGTCCAGAACCACTCAGTCCCACACAAGTGACCATGTCAGTCCCCGACTCTGCAGTGGTCACAAGAGAAGCTGGCCAGCTCATTTCTGGGGGACACTGGCTCAGTGTCCACCGCCCAAACCTATGACTAATGAAATAGTGGAGTTGTTGTTTATTTTAAATCACACCTCCTGAGCTCAGTCCCAGTCTCCATCCTCACCTGGGCCCGCGGGGATGGCCTTGGCCTTGGCCTCAACGGTGGCGGCGGTTGGGGTGTACCCCGGCCCCCCACTCCCCAGCCCCGCCTCGCCCAGCCCCTCGTCCAGCCCGCGCCGGCCCTTGCCGATGGCCAGGCGCGGGCGGCCGCGGTTGAGACCGTCC